GCCGAAAGACATTACTCTTCTTGGTCACCGCTGTGTGCTCATCAAATCAGATTTTGAACGTATTATTGAGAGCGTAGGCAGTGTTTCTTGCTTTTATCTCTAAGAATATACTGCATACGCAAATGTAAGGACAATAGCGTTATATAAAGCTGAGCTCTCACGGTATCAGATCTTATCTAGTAATGAACGGCAGGGACCGGACGAAGCACGATAAGGACTGACGTGAAGAGTTGTTTTGAACCTGGAGTGCCTGTCTCTCGGTTAGTACTGCAAGAAGTGTATTTCGAAGAGTGTTAAAGTAGGGGTCATTCCACGTGAAATCATCCAGAGAGGTCGCTCACCATTTTTAAAAAAAATTATATTTTGTACACTTATTTATACATATTTTCATACTATAAAAATATTTTTTAAAAAAATTGTAATCCGCTCGGTTCTCCCGGTACAGGCGTTTTTATAATGCGAAAAAACGCGTTTTCCGCTGAAATGGAGGTTTCCGTTATCTTCCATATCTCGATAACCATTGAAGCTACAGACTCCAATAAGAAAGCAATTTGTTCCCCATGATATGTACTATAAATCATATTAATATAAGGTTTTACTCAACTCTCTTCCTCTAGGTCTAATTAAGCTCGAAAATTACCTATCGATTTTGGAAAAAACGCTATTTTTGCCTTTAAAAACAAATAGGAGGGGGAAAGTATCAGATGTGTGGTTCTATCCTTTGTTGTTACCTATATGGGGAATATAATCACGTAGTTTTGAATCCCATATCTGGTTTCCAAAATTTTCCAGGAGCTTCCAAACTTTGCTCTGGGCCCAAAATCGACCATTTTTAACATCTCATATCTTAGGTGGGGAAGCTCCGAAAATTTTGAAATTCATAGACATGCTCTCTTCTAGAGTAACTTGGAATTAAAATTACAACTTTGATATTCAATTAATAGCGAAGTTTTCATAATGCGAAAATCGCGTTTTCGGCTGAAATGGAGGTTTGCGTTATCTTCCATAACTCGATAACTATTGAAGCTAGAGACTCCAATAAGAAACCAATTTGTTCCCCATGATATGGACTATAAATCATATTATTATAAGGTTTTACTCAACTCGCTTCCTCTCGCTGCTTTCCTCTTCGTGAATTTTAGCCACGTAGTGATGTTTTTTCGGTTCTGCCAGTTTTTCAATTAGAGATTCGCAGAATTCACTGTAACTTTGCATTATAGAAATCATGTTAGCTCTGTCTGTGTTGACCCATTGTTTGTAGACTATTTGATCGGGCATGCTCTCTGTTTCGGCTGATAGCAATTTCGTCAGAATTTCTTCTCCAGGGCCGTCTGCGCATTCACTACTCATGCACTTATAACTTTCGATGTCACAAACCATTACACGTAATAAATCCTTGTAGTTCGAATTCAATTTTGCTCCCTCTAGCATCAGCTTAACATTTTGGTGATGGCTGCACACACAAACGGTATGAGTCCCCGATGCACCAGCAATGATACACCACTTCGGGCGAAGTGCACAAAATTTTGAGAAACCAATTTTGTGTTCGGGTTGAGTATTCTTTAAGTGAATGTAAAGTTACTTCAAATTGCATAGTATCAGCCGTTTCTGCATACGCTCTTTGATACCTCCCACGTTAACACTCACACAATCCTTTTTTCCAGGGCAGATCCTACTGTTTTCATAAAATTCCGTGACAGCCTGAATTGTTTCGTCACTGTCTGGCCCCGCCTTCTGCCTAAATCCGGAAGGATCCCTCGCGTCTGCTGAAGCGCTCGAGTAATTCTAACCAAGTGCTCAGAAACTTGAAATTCTCGACTTATCTTCTGTCTTCACCACGAAGTTGGCAATAAGCTAATGATTTTGTTTCTTCTTTGCTTGAGATTAAACATTTCTCCTTTAATTTGTTAATCAACAAATCATACTCCTCCCTTAAGGCAAAGGAAGGTATTTGTTCATCTGAATCAAGATCCATCGAGTCGTCTGAAAATGAACTCGCTAATTTCCTTCGAAGAGAGTCGGATATTCTTCTACATTTTCTTGATAAAGCAGCGGGTCTTTTCCCAGTATTCATCTTCATAATTTTAGCCATAGGAGAAATATCTAGAGCAGAACACACTGCTTCTAATTCTGCCAGATTTTCTTGCATAGGTGCAAACTCGCTCCTTTCAGAACCACTACTGCCCCCACTTACGGTTTCTTTGAGAACAAAAACCTTTGTGTAACAATTAGGACACAAGGATTTACCTGGTACTAGAGCTACCGGATTATTATTTTCTTTCTTCAGATGTTCTAATAAAATTTCACGTAAACCTTTTAGCGGGTCACAACAAATGTTTCCAAACAGGTGATTGTATTTAACAGAATACTTAACCTCATGATGCTTGCATATGGAACTCAAATCGCATTCACCCAATCTTAACTTTAAAACAGTTTGTTTCTCTTCACCCAATTCACTCACAAGCGTTAACTGTTTGTTGACGGCACCATACGTAGTCTTATGGCATTCTTCACGTGTGACAATACCTATAGAACATTCCATTTCAAAAACTTTTTCCTTTCGACTTAGAGAATACCGAGCTCGATACACGTAAAAGATCTACAGTTGCTGAACATACACTGACTTANCCCTAAAATGGCAAAAATGACAAGAAATACCCTTCAAAGTCCAAAAATTTACCAAAAAATTACCCCCCAAATGAAAAAATGATCTTAAACCTAAAAATGTCAAAAAAATTACTTATAAAATTTACATTTCTGTAACCAGCAGCTCATATCCGGGATTTATATATTTAAGAGTATCGCAAAGGATACAAAGAAAAAAAGATGACATGTCATCAAAATCCGGGCCCTGCTTATAACATTCTTCACGTGTGACAATACCTATAGAACATTCCATTTCAAAAACTTTTTNGCGAAAATAAGAGACCTACATCCATGTTTATAGCCAGCTAAGAACCGAGTGTTGATAACATGTCATTCCGAGCAGTGACTACAGGCCTGAAAATGATTTTAATGACAAAAGATAGATCTCTCGCCTTTTATACCGAATAAAGAACCGCCAATACCACTGGATGCAGGTAAGCCAATTATCGAGGTACTGATTTCTTTGCTAAAATTCAAAGTGCCCACAACTTCGCTCTTATTTGAATATCAAAGTCGTAATTTTAATTCCAAGTTACTCTAGAATAGAGCATTATTTGGAACGAATATCAAAATTTTCGGAGCTTCTCCACCGGAGATATGAGATGTTAAAAATGATCGATTTGGGGCCCAGACCAAAGTTTGAAATCTCCTGGAAAATTTTGTAAACTAGGTACGGGGTTCAAAACTACGTGATCATATTCCCCATGTAGGTAACAACAAAGGGTAGAAACCACAGATCTGATACTTTCCCCCTCCAATTGGTTTTTGAAGGTCAAAAATAGCGTTTTTTTTTCCAAAATCGATAGGTAAATTTCGAGCTTAATTAGACCTAGAGGAAACGAGTTGAGTAAAACCTTATAATAATGTGATTTATAGTCCATATGATGGGGAACAAATTGGTTTCTTATTTGAGTCTCTAGCTTCAATAGTTATCGAGATGTGGAAGATAACGCAAACCTCCATTTCAGCCGAAAACGCGTTTTTTCGCATTATAAAAACGCCTGTACCGGGAGAACCAAGCGGATTACATTTTTTTAAAATATTTTTATAGTATGAAAATATGTATAAATAAGTGTACAAAATATATATATTTTTTTTAAAAATGGTGAGCGACCTCTCTGGATGATTTCACGTGGAATACTCGTATATTTTCGCTAATACACATTGCTTCAGGTGCAGTGGAGGACTAAACAACGCATTCAAGCAGCTCAGTTGGCTTTGATGCTAGAGGCAAAATAATGCAAGTCCGAAGGAAAACAGCTGGATTTTCAAATCCTGCTTCACAGACGAGACAGCGCGGCTAGATACTAATACTCTGTAACACGCCCCCAACTCATCCCCAAGGTCGTATATTACTATACAGGGTGTTTCACGACTTTAGGGCATAACTGCAGGAGGTGATTTCCTAGGTCTTTGTGATCAAAAAAGTTCATATACCAGTTCTTGTATACTGGGCCATTTTTTCAGAAAATTGACAAATGTAAGCTTAAGCTAAGGTAGAACAGTTGTATTTGAGGTTCACGTGGCCGTCCGTGTTTATATTACAATCTTATGGAATGCGATGTAGTGGGTGCCAGTGTTTTGGACAACGCTCATTCCTCCCTTTTCTTCTACCCTGAAGATGGAGACAGCAGGTTTCTACAGAATGCTGGTACCTGTCTACAAGAACACAAGACCCCCACATTCCATAAAACCGCAATCTTAAATTATGGTTTATATTGGGCCGACAGGAACCGAAATTCTCGCCCAGCAACACTGGGTGTAGACACCCACTATCAAATTTTGTCAAACCATATTCAGTAGTATTTCGGAGATAAAATATAGTGAGGCATAACGGCCGAAAACCGGGATTGTGAAGCAGAATCAGACGTCCGTTGCTCATCACGTTCCCGCTACAAAAAAAAAAAAAATTATAGCAACGGACGAGCCGTTATCAGGTAACAAGTTTCTAAACGTAAGATTACCGTGACAAAACTAGAATAACAGAGGGCAATTAACTGTTCGAAAAGTAACTTATATTCGGGCTGCGTGGTAGTTATAAAAGGGAGTTGATTCGTGCATTTAAGTCAGTGAGAGATTCTTCAGTGCTTTCGCCAGACAGGAGTGGTGATTCATCCTTAAGAGGATTCAGAAGGATTTCGATGTGTGAGCTGTTATAATTGACTGTAATTGTAAAGAAGTGTCAATAAACCCAGCCATCAAATTTGGAACCCATTATTATTAGTCACGCAACCCCTGAAATCGTAAAGTAAACTCAGACGATGCAGCATAAATACGGTAACAGAATGAAGCACGCAACTCATATGACTGGTGTGTTCAAGCGGTTTGACAGTCGGTGCATATCTGTGTTGCAGCACCATATAACTGCAGGAACTCGGGCGTCGTTCCATAATGGACAATGACAAGGCAACGCTGTCTGTCGGTACCTCTCCTAGGAAGAAAACCAAGATAAACTATGAGCGTCTTCCCGTTAAGGCGCATTACTTCTTCTTCATGGCCTGTAAGTAATGAAAATAATTATGTGCTTTATGAACGAATGGGACGAACCAGGCTGCCAAATATTTTATTTCATTTTGTTATCATTCACCGATCCGTTCAGGTACATAACCAGTGGAGACAGAAATTGTCAGAAGATTATACCCATATATTATATAAGATTGTCTTAACAAAAGAAAAATAACAATTAAAATATATATAAGAAATGAATGAATGCCTACTAAAATACAAAGCTATAATTATTAGGATACCCCAAGATCAAATTTATTATTCCTATCAAGATGCTTTTCCTGAGGCACTATGCTACAAGCTGGAAGGTCGCAGGTTCAAGTCCCGATGAGGTCATTGGATATTTTTCAATTGACCTAATCCTTCCAGTCGCACTAAGGCCCTGTGGTCGACTCAGCCTCTAACAGAAATGAGTCCCAGGAATTAATTAAAATTTAACGGGGGAGTAAAGTGCGGGGGCTGACAACCTTACTGCCATTTTTGAGCTGATTGTCTAGAAAATGTGGGACCCTCAACGCCTCACAACCCTATGGGCCTTCACGGCCTGGTACAGGGATAGCTTTACTTTTTTATCAAGATACTTTTCAACAGAATAAAAAGAGTTCTCTATAAGAAACTTTCTCAATTTATGTTTAAATTTATTAATGTCATGTCAAACTTTCTTGATATTTTGGGGTAGAGAGTTAAATAATGTAACTCCTGAATAGTATACTCCTCTTTGTACTTTAGTCAGACTCACTAAAGGAAGTAAAGTCCAATTTTTGGCGAGTATTTATTTTATGCAATTCAATATTTATTGTGAATAAATCCTTATGCTTAACAACAAATATAAGAGTTGAAAAAATGCATTAGGAATAATGAGTTAAAATTCCAAGTTTACTGAACATTTCGTTACAGGAATCCTTCGCTTTAGCTTCCATGATAATTCTTACAATTCGTTTCTGGTGTGGGAGTGATGTGGGAACATCCCACACTGGGTTATAAAAATAGATCTACTATGCATGTATTCCATGTAAATGATTCCTCCTAACTCCTGGTCATGGCAAACAAAATGGCCTGCGATTAAAAAGATTCACATAGTTTAACCAAAAGGAGCATGCACAAGTGTGTTTATTTTTCTGCCAGTTACTTTAGGGCGCTCTCAGTATCGGGACTATATAGCGTCGGATGTTAGGATGATCGATGAACTGGAAAAGATTTGGAAGGAAGTGGCCGTGGCCTAATCAAAGTGCTATTCGTGAATTTGTCTTCAGGGGCTGAGGGAAACTACGAAATACCTCATTCAGGATAGACGGTGCCACTGTCGAGATTTGAACCGAAACATTTCAATGCATATATGAGAAGTGTTGCTTTTTTTTTTTTTTCTGAAGCTATTTATAATCTGGCTCACTTCTCACACTTCCCACTCTATTTCAGCAGGGACATTCCTGTAGGCTCCTGGGCAGCGTAAGAGCTTGGATGATGATACTTAAACCTCTTGGAATGTGCTACTAACTTGTTGACAAGGGGCTTGCACCAGCAAGCAATACTTCTTACATTTTCTTTCTTAAATAACTTTAAATGAAATAAAACAATACATACATATGCCTATTATTTAAATGTATAGAATTTCATATTTCAAATTACACTTCAAATGTTTGTTAATAAGGTCCTTTACGGCTTGGACAATCAACCGTAAATTAACAAGGGGGCCACAGGAGCCCCTCTGAGCCCTCTGCAGCACATTTCCTCATCGCACTTAACAACAATCACTAAACACAAGAGAAGTGTATTTTTGTTGCTATCACAGAAGCGAAAGTTGAAGGCATGTGAGAAGAGTCACAGAACGCAAAGTGCACTGCTGCCACATTTTCGGGACAACAGTGAAACAAGACCAGCTTCCCCATCTAAATCCAATGTGCTAACACTGAATATTGATGCCATTATCAGGTGTATCCGTGTGGCTATAGACAGGTATTTTGTTGATAATTGGATTTATTTGACTCTTTGAAACAGCGCATGACTATACTTTACCATTCACTATTACACGCACACACTAGTGCCCACAGTCACGTCTTCACTAGCCATTGCTCGGTAGCAGTTTCCAAAGGCGGATGTTCATCTTACTCTGTGTTCCCAAACTGTCCCCAACCTCAGCTACAGCTATTCTTGAACAAATGACTCACTCACCAACCAATTGCTCTTCACTTCGCTCAAAGTCAAAGCCAAAGTTACTTTACGACTGACGACTGGCAGTCTTCACTAACTGTCCTGCTTATAACATCTTGGTTTGGACCGCACAGAGAACAGCACTCCTCTGTTGCTGTACAGGCATCCTTGTTTGCAAAGCCATTACGCCATAATTGATGTTGTATAGCTGCTTCTTTTGCAGTCGTTGTCTAGCAACGGGCCTGTGTGCCACAATATATATATTCACATTGAAGAGTTAAGATCTCTGGTCCCGTATTTTCTTTTGTAATGCAAGTACCTTCTCGCTGTCAGATGACTTACCCCAGAAAATTATTCCATATTTAATTAAAGAGTGAAAAGTAAGGAAAATAAATTGATTTGAGAGTTTCAGTGTTGCTGGTATGCAACATACATCTAACTGCATAACATGCTCCACTTAGCTTTAGAACCAACTGATCAATATGGTTTTTCCAGTTTAAATGATAATCAAATTTCAAGCCAAAGAATTTTGTGTCTACTGGCTCTTCTACATATTTATTATTATATCCAATATTTAGTGGATATTGTGGTGAGTTTGTTGTTATCAATTTTATTACAGTTGTTTTATCTATATTGAGGGACAGCTTGTTTGCAGAAAACCATTAACTCATTTCAGAGAGAACCGTGTTTGATAGTATGCAGAAATCATCTAAATTTTTGCTGGAAATTATGACAGTAGTGCCATCAGAAAATATTACCCGGAGTAATGAGGTGTTTAATATAGGAAGCAGGTCATTTATATTGACTACGAAAAGCAAAGGCTCTAAAATTGACTCCTGGGGAACTCCACGCTTTATTCTTCCTCAGTTTGAGTAGGTACTGGGTTGAATTCTTTTATTTTGTTTCAAGCTTTTGTTTTCTATCTGTTAGGTGGGATCTGAAGCAACTTGCTATTGCTTTTTGAAAGCCAAATAGTGTAATTTAGTTAATAAAGTTTTGTGACTTACAGCCAGAAGCTTCTGCCAAAAGACAGAGGAGAGGCTGAGGCTCAGGAAGTCCTTCCCACACTGCATCATACTACCTATGTCTCTGGATGATTCATGTGTCTTGAGGAGCAATGTGTAGCTTCCATACTCAATCTCCGTAAAAGCGGTTTATTTCAAGTAACTGAACAATTTCTTGTTTATTAAGTCGGCTCTTCAGAAATTTCACTAGAGGCTAAACAACGTTTGAAACATTCTGTCTTCTGGGATATAATGCTGTGTAGTCGACTGAAAGTCATTGACATTTTTGAGCAACATATTACCTCCATTCATTCATTCATTCATTTTATTTATTTTCCATAGATCCATACAGTATATAACCAGGATGTGGAAATGGTCCTTAAAATACATATCAAAATAGTCTTTATGATACATATACAAAATTGTATGAGTCCATTATTTGCTACAATAGGTTAACATCAATTTTTCAGGTTGTAGAGAGGCAAACTTATTATATCATAAAATCGCATATAATAATAATAAATAAAATTCAATTAAAACATAAATTAAATAACTTACTATAAAAAGATAGTCACAATTTCATATAATCACTAAAATTACCAATTAAGTGTCTTCCGGCATCACACATTTATAACCAGTTCTATGTTAAATGTTCATACAAGTCAGAGAGGTGTAACAGCCTCTACAATATATGTTTAAAATTGTACCATCAGCAGCCATCTTTGTTATGATTATCAATTAATGACAAACAGATCTGGATTATTGAAATTTGATTCTAAATTTGTAGATCACATTAGTAAGATTAAATAAAATATGAGCCATAATAATTTTAGATAGGACAACTTCAGGGTTGAAGAATATGCCATAAAAGAGAGCAGTATGAAGCAAGTAGCAAGCAGAGCTGCTACCAGGAAAATTTAATATAAAGACAGCCCACATCTGTGCTAATAGTTCCCGCATGCCAGGACCAGAAAAGTCTCAGAGGTCTACAGTATTCTGTGCAAATGTGGCGAAGTGTGTATAGGATAGACAGGTTGATCCACTGAAACATGACTGACCTTTATGTTTGTATCAGCCAGTGAAGTCTGCAGTGGCAAAACAAAGAACTGAATCAGGCTACATGGACTGACTTTTCAGAGAGGCAATAGGAATTAAATTACATCTGAACAATATGAACACAGAGGAAAGGTTCAAATATATTAAAGCATGGAATCCTAGCACAACATTATTAGGGTACTCCATCAAACATATCAAGAAACTCTTATGAAGACAGGGAAGTGCATGCTAAAAAGAAAACAAAATAACTGACAGCAGGGACACCAGGTCAATTGTCATAGTGACAGGTTAAATTTGGATGGGTAACCTCACAATCTGACTGCACCCTCCTACGGCATAGCAGTCCAATAGCACAAGACATTCATTTGACAGGCTGATTATATCAGCAATGTATGGTCATTCATCACAATGATCCTGCTACTGTAGATGGGGTTTTTAACAAAATGCTGACATGGCTCATCACCCAAGAAAAGTTTAGCGCTTTTATTTGCTGTGTAAGCTTCAAATCTTACATAACAGACATATGAAGCTTTAAATTTCAAACTTAAGTGTGTCTCTCACTAAGGAAAGTTATGTATTTCAGTAATATGTTCTTATGGAAATTCAGAATTTATTCCAGAATACACACAGGAGCTAGCAGAATGGGACAGTAGGAACATATTCATGAGTGTTTATACTTTATATTCTGTAACAATTTTAACATTTAAAATGTCCTGGATTTGCATCTGTGACTTCCAAATGTTGTAGTTGTGTCCTATTTGATATTTCATTCTGAGTGTGGAAGGTTTACTGTGATAAGGATTTAAGGAAAGATTAGATCTCATGTTAGAATTTTGAACATCAAAGTCCGTGAATGTAATATCCAAAATAATGATAATGTATAATGTTGAATATATTTGGCTCAAAGGAATAAAATTATGTAATATAAGTTCTCAGTGTGAGGATGGGGGGAGAAGCCCAATCACCCAAAATGAATGATTACAGTTTTCTTTGATCAAGAGGTCCCAGACTTAAATGATTTTCATGCCCCTGGGCCTCTAGAAAAAGCACCTGATGGATGTTGATTCTAGTTTAATGCTGAGGTACGGCAATCCGTAAACAGATAAGTAATTCTATGATGAAGGCATCCAGTAGCATAGAGTTCCCTTGTTGAGAAAAGTTAGCTGACTTTGTTTATTTCTCCTGCAGTATTTCACATCTTTGTCATTTGTCTGTTTATTAATAATTAAAATAATTTTTTGTGCACATTACTATTAACCTGAAAGTTGCAGTCTTTAATTCCATATTTCTAAATGTTCTAATAATCTTTATATCTTGACATCTAAGGAATAAAATTCAAACACATGTATATTTTTCTGTTTGCAGCCCTGGGACCAATTCTGCCATTCTTGAATGTATTTGGCAAGCAATTAGGAGTGTCTGAGATGGTGATGGGAAGCATCACTGCTGTTCTGCCAGTCTTATTTCTAGTGGCCAAGCCACTGTTTGGCCTGATTGTAGATTACTTCCAGGATCATCGTAAAACAGTATTCATGGGCCTGCTGTGTGCCATGAGCATGTGTTATGTGCTCCTGTATTTCATACCACAGCCTGATGGACCATTCATTACAGAGAAATCAACCTATCACCTGTCTGATGTTCAATGTAACCAACTGGATATATGTCACAACTGGGTAACTGCTGTAAAACATGTGCTTGTTTGTTTTGGATCAAGTCAAATAACTTTGTTTTACATGAAGGTGAAACTGAACTCTTATTTCACATTTTTTAATTGTTCCTCAAACAAAAAAATACACAATTTATTAAGAATTACAATTTCTATTTAACATTTTTTTAGTGTGATGTAACCTAAATTTAATGAAATACAAGAATAACATCATTTTACTTGTATTTGCTATAATGCAACCTTTTATGTCATATAATGCGGCATGATTAGCACTGAAAGAAATAGCTTTGTAACCAATTTCATGGAGTAAAGTTAATCTTCAGAAAGCAATGGTTATACAGCTAGTCAAGAAGTCTTCACTTTTTATGGAACCAAAAGGTTCATCATCTGACCCACAAAATCTTGATACTGGATCCTATCCTGAGCCAAATGAATCCAATCCACAACCTCACACCATATTTCTTTATTATACATTAAATTATTTTCCTCTAAGTTACACCTAAATCTCCCAACTGGTATCTTCTCTTCAGGTTTTCTGACTAAAAATCTGTACGCACTTCTCATCTCACCTGTTTGTTATACATTCTCCACCAATTTCTTCATGCTTAGTTTGGTCATCATGAAACAACTGGTGAAGAATACAAATCATGAAACCACTCATTGTGTAATTCTATTCTCCTCTGTTATTTGCTCTAATAGATCCATGTATTTTCCTCAGCATTGTTACTCTCAGGCAACTGCTACCTTTAATGCGAGAGACCAAATTTCACATCCGCATGAAACAGTGGGTAGAATTATAAATTTGTACATTTTAATCTTTAAATGTTTAGGCTGCAAACAGAAAAATAAAAGATTCTGAACTAGTTATTTCCTGAATTTAATCTACTCTTACATTTTTCATGAATGTAATTTTTAGTTGTTACTATTGCTTCTGCAGGGGCAAGCAGTAGCGTGGTTGAGGGAATATGCTACAAGCTGGAAGGTCACGGGTTCAAGTCCCGATGAGGTCATTGGACTTGACCTAATCCTTCCAGCTGCACTATGGCCCTGGGGTTCACTCAGCCTCTAACAGAAATGAGTACCAGGAATTAATTAAATAATTTTCCTGGGGAGTAAAGCGCGGCCGGCGTGTAAGACTGACAACCTTATCACCATCTATGAGCCAACTGTCTAGATAATGTGGGAGCCTCAACATCTCACAACATTATGGGCCTTCAAGGCCTGGTACAGGGATAGCTTTACTTTACTTTCCCTATTGCTTCTGCAACAGAGCAAAAAATGAAGAATGATTGGTAGAAGCATTTTATTTTGTTGTGTTTGCAGGAACTGTCTGAGGCTGCTGGGTGTGGACATTACAAGAGAGTGATATGTAATTGGACGTGTGGGGCATCTAATAATGAAACACATCTTGATGCTCTGCTAAATACATCTCCAATCACCAAAAATGCAAGTGTCAATGTGACCCCTTGTATACTGGGAAACATCAGTTCTCTCATCTGCAGCTTTGATGATAACAAGAGTCACTGTGAATTCTCTTGTGTACTGCATGAGACAGAGATAGAAAAAGATTGTCTCTATGGCACACCAGCATTTTGGGGCTTTGTTCTCCTCATGTCTTTAGGAACAATTGGGTTTAATGTTGCAAACAGCATCAGTGATGCCATCTGCTTTGATGTTTTGGGTGAGTTGTTATACAGAACTGGAACCATTTCTTCAAAATGCTGTCTAACAGATAATCGGCCACAGGGATTAGGTTAGTAGAGAACAGTTACAAGAATGTTCATTCATTCATTTATTTTACATTCCACAGATCCACAGTACAACAGGTAGGATATGGAACACGTCAAGTGGTACATAAGACAAATAAGCCAAAAAACAGAATAAAATAAAATGATGACAGAAATATAAAAAGTTCTATTACTAACAGTTTTAAAACTTGGTGACAATAAACATAATTTATTAAACTATATACAAATTCTTTGGTATCTCATTGACTTGCAATAGCCTTAAATTGAAGATATTCATCAATGGAATAAAAATAATGTGTATAAAGAAAATGTTTTAGACAGGCTTTAAATTTCCTTGGATTATGAGATATATCTTTAATATGTGGAGGAAGACGGCTAAATACCCTAATACTCATACAGTACATTCCCTTTTGGTAAACTGTAAAATTTACTATAGGCAGATAAAAATTATTTGATTTTCTTCTACCTGTATTATGCTTTTCTGAATTTAAAATAAAGAGACCCTTGTTACTGACAAAAACAACTTGAGTGAAAAAATATACTGTGATGCAAGAGGCAAAATTTCCAACTTCCTACACAAATTCCTGCACGAAGCCCTGCTCCTACAGCCCATAATAATTCTTATTACTCTTTTTTGCATTCTAAATATTTTAAAACTGTGGGGCGAATTTCTCCAGAACATTAAGCCATAGCTTATGATCGAATTAAAATATGAATAATATATAATTTTCAGAACATTGAAAGACATATATGACTTAATACTCCTCATAATATAACATGCCGAACTCAATTTTGGGATAATACATTCAATATGACCTGTCCAGTACAATGAGTCATTTATATTTATGCCAAGGGTCTTAATATGAGACACAGTTGTTATTGGTTGATTGTTATGAACGATATTTACATCAACTGTGGGTTTATTTTTAGTTTTAAAATGAATACAATGAGTTTTGTTAACATTTATTGAAAGTAAATTTGTTTTGAACCATTTATTTACGCAAGTGAAGGTGTTAGACATCTTATTTCGAAAGTCCCCTAAGCTAGAACCTTTGACTAATATGCTTGTATCATCAGCAAACAAAATAGCTATAGCATTACCGTCTACAATTTTGGGCCAATCATTAATATAAACAAAGAACAGCAAAGGGCCCAGAACTGATCCCTGGGGAGCACCATCAGTTATCTTTTCCCATGCAGAAAGATTTATTAATTTGATTCCTCATTAGAAACCTGACTTCTCTCATATCTGTTATTAAGACACGATTCAAACCATAATTAGCTTTGCCATT